TTCAAACTCACGAGCAGCCTTATATTTTCCTTTGTTTTGACACAGTTTTGTTTGAGACTTATTTTCTCTCCTGTAAGGAAATGTAGTGACTTAGAGTGGTCTGAAATAAACAGCATGCCCGACAATTTGATTGAGGTTAATTCAGCCTAGTATAGGATTATTTTTGTGCATCGGCTCTGTGCTGTGAATGTTGTTTTTAACGGAAACAAATTACATGCAGTAGAGCCATTTTAAACACACTTCATTGTTATATGCCTATTTATTAATAACCTGTTATTGGAAATGGGATTTAGGGAAAAGATTACAGGGTTTCTCTCTTCTTTTTGCTTTCAGTTGTCCACGCTGTGAATGTGCTTCTTTTTACTTTTTCAGCCAGAAAAAGCTATCCCACTGCCATGTTTGTGCTAACGTGTTCCCCCTCTGATACATTTTGTTGAGCTGAAGTAACAGCCAGTGCTGCCTTCAATGTTTTGTGCTTCTGGAGGTAACACAAAACTGGAGTTCGGCCACTGTGGAAATGTACTTTTTTTTTTTTTTTAAATGTTTTGAAGTGTAAGTTGTGAGGCATATTGAAGGGGGAGGAAGCTGAGATGACCGCAGCAGTCAGCTGGGGCACAGACAATTACTGTGGATGTCAGTCTTTGTTGTGGTAGTGATTTTGTAGGATAATTACTTATGTAACAACCATAATCATTACCCTCGACAAAAGGATTAAAAAAATAAGTGATTGATAACTTTGTATCTGCATTTTTGCTTGGCATCCTCTGCTGCTTGCATATGTGAACAAGAGAAGTCTGCAAATACGCATTGTCCCTGGACTGATAGTGTAAATCTCTGCTGCAAAGCTTGCCTACTTGGACTTTATGTAGGGGTGCGTGGTCTTGGCTCTTTGTTAGGCAGTGTGTTGCCTTCCTTCTAATTTGTTCCAGCAGATCAGAAAACAGAAAAAAAAAAATAGCAAAATACTCTTAAAGACTATTTTTGTACTTGTGTGGGTAGGTCTTTTAGGACAGAAGTGACCAAAAGCTAGATGATAGCAAAACCCCTTTAGAGCCTGCATAGCACTACAGCATTCAGTTCCCTTAGCTCAAAAGAGAGTTTCAGGATATGTAGTTTGAAATAAGATACAGAAAATCTTCAGAAGGTTTCAGAGAAATAATTTGTTTCTTGTTCTAAATATTCTTGGAAGTGCAGTTGTAGTTCTCGGAGATTTACAGTCTTCTGTTTGTAAAAGTTGCATTCCATGGACACATATATGTGCAGTGATTTAGAGTTAAAATTGCGTTTTCTTAACATGGGCGTAACTTGCTATTCTAGATCTGCAGCTGCTTGTTGGACACGTGTAGCTTGACACAGAATTATGCTTTTTTCTGTGTGTGTTTGAGATTTCAGACAAACCTACTCTTACAGAAGAACGATTGCTAAAGGAGAGTTGTTACAACACACGTAAAAGTAAAATCTTTCTTAAGGTTTTACTGGATCAGAAGAATGTGGAACTTTTTTAAAACCTATGTTTGGCAAGAATTCTTTAAATATCAGAGGAAAATGCATTCTCATTTTTCATACACCTTTCTTAGCGTGTAGTATTTTTGTTGTGATGAAACTTTAAATATCATATGAATGCTGATGTTTGTTTTCCTGTAGCGAGAGGTTTCATACACCATGCTTTTTCAGTCTTAATTTTCAGCATTTTTAATGTTGCCTTGCTGCTTCTTTCCCAGTAAGAATAGTTATTTTCTTCTTGCTTATGAGCAGATGTACTTCCTCCTCTGAGAGAGGCTTTCAGCAACATACTGGAGCTAGAGATGAATGGACTGGTGTAAATCTGCAGCCGACAGCCTGTACTCTGCCCTGTCACCCATGCTCCAGGATCGATGATTTGCACGGGGATGCTTTGGAGGAGAACTCAATTAATTAACAAGGAAAATTCTTACTCCATTGTCCAGCACCGCATAACTTATCACCTCTAAAGGCGAGGGAAACCCTCTCTGGGCCGAAGGGCCCCTAAATGAGCCTGTCTTGGCTGTGTGTTCAGAGCCGAGAGGTGGGGGAGATGCGCACCCCTCCCGTTCAGGCTGAGGCTTATTCTTGTGGGCGCCCTTTTGGGTCGGGAGCCCTGGGGGGGGCCCAGCCCTT